ATTTATGAGAGGGAGCATTCCCAGAAAAAAGAATGAAAAGGAAGTGTTACAAGAGAAAAAAGAGCAAAACAGGGTTTTTCTGGTCTTTTGTGACCTCGCTTTGGTAATCAGGACACATCACTTCTTCTATATCCTATTCATTACTGATGAGTCACTAAAGCCAACTGATTCAAGAGGAGATAAATTGCCTTTCTCTCTTTCTCTCTCTCTCTCTATCTCTTTTGATAGTGAGTAGCAAAGATGGTTTCAAAACAATATGTGGGATGGGAGATATTATTGAGACCATTTCTGCAAAATACCATCTCTCATATTTTATTTACATAGGTGCTAAGAGAGAGCCACTAATTTAATTTAGATTAGTGGGACTCAACTCCACATTTTATACACAGACCTGTATGTCTTTACTAGCTCATAAATTTCTTAATGTTAACAATGAAAGTTTTGAAGTTTTCCAATAATTCACCTTAAAATAGTTGTGCTTATTCTAAGAAATCCCAATGATTGATGATGATGATGATGATGATGATGATAATGATGTTAATAATGATTATGATGTCATCATTTTCCCTGACTTTCTGGTAGGTTTTCCTTCATGGAGGAAATAAGGTTACTGAAGGAATGTATGAGAGGGAGGGCATCTAAACATAACTGCCAATATCAGAGGGTTGAACCTAGAGGTCTAAAGTCATTACATATGATCTCACCTGACTTATATCTAGTGCTGGCTTGTACCTTGTCTGCTTTTGTACATTGTCTCTAAGTCAGCGTGGTGACATCAAACCCAACTGTAGAATCTCTATTCTCTATTGATACTGTATATGAAATCTTCAAGTAGTTGTACAAAGGAGTTGCCATTTAACAAAGCAGTTTGTGATTAATTTTTATAAAGTTGCATTTTAGGTAATTTTGGAATTGATAATTCAGCTTGAAAGGGACTTCAGTTATGGGAAACATTATGCATGCCAATAAATTGCAGTACTCTGGAGGGATTGAGGCAGGAGGATTAACAGTTCTAAACTAGACTGAACTACATAATAAGAGCCTGTCTTGAAAGAAAGATAGAAAGGATTTCGACAGGTGGACCATTGCAACAATGAAATGTACAAGTTGTTATGTTGAAAGCGAACTTTACAACTTTGATGCAGGAGGTGGGGGGTGGGAAGGATTGGGTGGGGGGGGCAGGGGAAGGATGGGAAAGGAAGGGAAGGGGAAACAAAGGAGGAGGCTACAATGTTTGATAAGAAATGTACTCATTATCTTGCCCATGTAATTGTAACCCCTCTGTATAGTATTTTCACAAAAAAAAGACAAAAAAATCCTTGTTACCACAACCTCTCTTTTAGAATCATAGCAAAAGGTCCGACAAGGAATAGAATGCAGCATCTACTCAACAAATGTTTGCTAGGAGAATATGTACAGTGGAAAACATTAAATGCTTGAAGGACAGGTAATGAGTGTGCTAAATAGAGACATGTGCTGGGTACTCTAGGAGAACAAAAGAGGTGGTCTAAACTCTGTGTGGGCATGGGGATCAAATTTACAAAAGCTTTCTGAAAGTGATAATGTCCAGCCAAGTCCTGATGACTGAACATGAGTTAGCCTCATGAAAAACATGAAGTTTAAGTGAGGGACCAAGAGCTGTTAGTACACACTTGTAATCCCAGCGACTCAGAGGACTAAGATCTCCAGGGTCACCATTGGAAGACAGCCCAGGCATAAAACTCTGGAGACACTATCCCTAATGTAACAAACAATAAACCAGCAATGGCTGCATGGTTCAAGTCCTAGAGTGCCAGCCAAGCAAGCATAAAAAGCATGAGGGGAAAGCAAAGTAGTAACAAGAACAACTACAAAGCTCAAGGTTCTACAAAGTCTCCATGATATTATGTCTCATAAAACTATTCAAAAGTGGAAAATGAGTTAAGCAGAATCACATTATTGCTGGTTGTACCATAATACACACATGAAATTTCACTTTTTCTCCTGTTATGGCAACTAGTATCAATTTTCTCCTAATAGGTAGAGATTCTTAGTAATTCAGGATAAAGATACATATGATTAATGTTTTTGAAAAAAGTTAATTGGAAAAAATTAACATCTATCACTTATTGAGTGATATATATCTACCTTTTAATGAGCTCTTTTTAGGAATTTATCTAAGCTTCACAAGAAAAAAGTCTCTTTTCCCATGCTGATAAACTTGATAAGTAGCAGGGCTGGGCTTTGAACTGAAGGAATTAATTATGAGGTAGTTTAAACTAATTCCTAACTAAATATATTTTCTCGGTTACCATTTTGTATAACTTCAAGAAATACTCACTGAATTAATTTCATCAATGATTTTCTTTTTGAAGACTTTTTTGTATTGCATTGTAATTTTTTATTTTTATCAAATATTTCTTTAATGAGATTAAGTGACTACATAAATTTCCCAATACTGTGGCATACTTATACTTAGCTAACATCATAATGACCTTTTAATCTCTGAAGACTTTTTATTGGATTTTACATGAAATGTTGAAACCAATGTTTCCTTTCAACCCCATTCAGATGAGCTTATTGCAAACTTACTGGTAAGTACTTTTCTCCACCTAAAAAGTATCTTCATGTCTACTTTCTCATTTGATTTTCCCATTAGCAGTATAGAAAATACTTGAATAATTCATACTACTTTCCATATTCTTTCAACAGAACATTGCATACTCAAATCATTATGATGACTTCTCCATATGGACTCAGAACTTAAAGAAAAAATGGAAACTTATTTGTAAAACCTGAAATAGTAACCAATATCTAATCATATATAGTAAATGCCCAAAATACATTTAAAAACTGAGTAGCCAGGTATATTTTAGATATAAGACCCTTGTCTGTTGTATGGCTAGTGAAATCTTCTCCCAATCAATGGGCTTTCTAATGATCTTGCTAACTATGTCCTTTGCCATGCAGAAGCTCTGCAATTTCATGCAATTCCATTTGTCCAACCTTTCTTCGATTTGTTGTGTTTCTGGGCCTCTATTAAGAAAATTTCGGCCTGTGCCAAGGAGACCTGGGGTTTTTCCTATTCCATCCTGTAATGTTTTCAGGGTGTCTTCTTTGACTCCGAGGTCTTTGATCCATTTGGAGTTGATTCTGGTGCAGGGTGATATATAAGGATCTAGCTGTAGTTTTTTTTACAAGTGATTAGCCAATTTTGTCAGCACCATTTACTGAAGAGGCTGTCTTTTTTCCATTCTATTTTTTTAGCTCCCTTATTGAAGATTAGATGGCTATATGTCTGTGGGTTCATTTCTGGGTTATGAGATGATTTCTTTGTTCCTTTGTATGTCCCTCCCTCGCGGTATTACCCCTGTTTTCATGGCATTTGATGTTAGTATAATTTGGAGAGTGAAAGGGAAAAAACAAATTGTTTAAGTAGGTAAACAGGTGGACTTATTGTAACAATGAGATGTACAAGATGTTATTTCGAAACGAACTTTACAACTTCAGGATGGGAGGGAAGGGATGGTAAGGGGAAACAAAGGAGGAAGCAACAATGCTTGATAAGAAATGTACTCATTACCTTGCTCATGTAATTGTAACCCCTCTGTACAGTATTTTCACAATAAAAAATTAATAAAAACTGAGTAGCCATAAAAGAATACCTTTCAAATAAGGAAGTAGAGAAAATTCTTTTTCCATTAAAATAACTTAATTTTCAAGTTTCCTTCTCAAAATGTCCATGTATGTGAAGGTTATCTGGTAATTTTACCATCTTGTGTTTTATATTAACTAAGGTGGTGGTCCCTCCAGTGTCCTCATCTTTCTGGACCACAAGCCATATGACTTCATCCTGATTTTCCGGAGGCTATCCTTTCTACTCCGTTTCTCATGCATCTCCATGATTGGCAATAAGCCACAAGGTTGGATACCATTAGCCTTCCACTAAGCCTTTTTCTGTGCTCTTCCAGTCAGGCGCTATCACTGGCTACGCTTGAAACAAAAATAGAGGTCATTTCAGTAGCAATGACTTCCCAGCTATTGGCTAAATTTAGTTGTTCAGTACTTTCCACTATAATGAAAATTGTGAACTATATAAAGCAGAACATTAACACGGAATGAGATCTTAAAGGTCATCAAATCCAACTCCCTCACTTTTTCTCTTAAGAAATATGGAGGTCTACTCACTATCTGATTTGCTTGAGGCCACAGAATTTATTAATGGTCAAACAGGAGTTTGAGGAAGATTGGTTCCGTGCAGGCATGCTGATGATCTCATGATATATTGCTGCTCAGCTTCATGTGATCTATCTAACCAAATCAGATCTTGAAATGAAATGGATAAATAATATATATGTGTATATCTATCTATCTATCTATATCTATCTATATCTATATCTATATATACATGCATACTATTATGGGTTACCCTCCATGACTGTTCTATTTGGTGGCCTGAGTATGAGGTAGCAAAAGTGTGTGGTATAAATTGCCACGAAAAATGAAATGATTCTATAGCCTAACCCTGCCCTTCTCCACTCTGAACACTTCCTGCTTTCTGTTCATCAATAATGAATGGTCCATCCTGCAATACTCTGAGGGAGCTTACATTGCACTTTTGAGCAGCCGGTTAGTAATGTACAGTGGAGAGAGCCTTTCTTTCAAATCCCAGGGCAGTGGGTTCTTCAAGGCTAGCATTGCATTTTCAATTAGCTGTTGAGTGACTGTCTGGCATGTGTATTAGTGAACAGGCACACAATTAGCTTATTGTTGCTTTCTGTATTGTGCTGAGAGGATCCAAGGGATTGGTGGGGTAACAGGCAAGCCGGGCATCACTGTGGCTGCGGAAGAAAGACCGGGAGTTAATAACCGCGGCATCTTCAGTTGCTCTGTCTGGAATTACAGTTAATTCTTACAAAGCACTGTGTGTGGTGTGGTGTAGTGTGCCTGTGGAAGCATTCCGGAAACCATTTGGGGTTCATCCTCCTAAGCTCTTCACATCTCTAATTATCATTATTAACATGGAACCAAACAGCCCCAAAAAGATACAATTTGCTGTGCCATTATTCCAGAGTCAGATTGCACCAGAGGCAGCAGAGCAGGTAAGGGGAATTGGGTGGGGAGCGCTTATTTACGGTGATAAGTTCCTTGTAAGTTTCTCTACCTCTTGAAATTGCCAAACCCTGAATTTCCTAGAATATATGAGAGAGGAATAAGTTGGTTTCCATCAGCGCTTGTATTTTGAGTTGCATTAGGAATCCATTGGCTATAATTTGAATAGCATTATATTTCATACAAAATTCAAATGACTTTAAAGAAATTCCAATTTGGAGCCATAAGCCTTTGTCTTTGCTTATAAAAATAACTTTTAAGTGACACTTTTTTGTCATTGGTGACTTTGTTGAGCAACTTTGAAAACATTACCTATATTAGCAATATTTTATTTCATTATTTTTAAAATAAAAAGATTGATGTAACAATAAAAGTACTAAAGCTCATCACAATTTCAGTTTATGGGCTTAATATTTTAAAATATACCTCTCATTATGCAATAAGGAATAATTATATGTGATCGGTAATGTTTGTAGGTATATGTATAGCTTTAAAAACATTTAATTAGATGTCAAAAATAATATGCTCTAACACTTAATTCTTTTTCTGTGTCTAATATTGGTTTGCATTTGTGTCATGCTTCATATTCATATTTCCTTAGATTCTTGCTCTTTCTCTCCTTTTACTAGCATACATTAATTGTACTTAGACTCTTCATGCAATGGCACCATTTTAATAGATCATTTATGATTCAACTACAGATATACTGTACAACAGAGTCCAAGGCAAAAAAAATCTATGAGGATATTAATCTAATTAATTAATTGAAACCTAAATGAGCTCTGATTCATTTTCAAAATATTTGATACAAAGTCTTCAAAATCATTATTGAACCTGATACTTCTCATTATAATTCAACCCACGGAGACCAGGCTACATGAAGATAACCTTGACTCTGTTTATCTACTTAAGGAGCATTGCTTTAATCTTGAACAAGATGTTAAATGTACATTTTATCATCCTCTATTCTGCTGAATATGTATTTGGAAATATATGAATGTTTTTAAAAAACTAAAGGATACTCAAAATAAGAGATTCTAATCAAAATATGCTCCTGTAACTCCTAAACAATGAATTCACCAAAAGCTCTTAGCCTTTAAACAAATAACATATTGCAATAAGATCCATATTCATTTTTTGTGGAGTTTGTTCTAAATATTGTAGCAGAAAGTAAAAAGTTAATAATATCAGTTGAAATTTGAAACTTACACGTTAATTTAATTATGACACATGCTAGGAATTTAAGATTTCCAAATTCCCCAAATCCTATTTAGAGATAAGAACAATGGATCTTGAACTCATCATGATTACAAATCTTCAAGAGATCCATCCAATAAGGGAAACCATAGGACCTATGTTTCTTTAAGCCTGGCTTACTTGACTTAAATTAATTTTTTCCAAGTCTTTCCATTTCCTAACAAATGGGGCAATGTCATTCCTTCTGATGGAGGCATAGAATTCCATTGTTTATATATATATATATACCACATTTTCTTGATCCATTCATCTACTGAGGGGCATCTGGGTTAGTTCCATCTCTTAGCTATGGTAAATAATGCTGCAATAAACAGAGTAGTGCTGGTAGCTTTAGTATGGTCTTGTTTGTGATCATTTGGGTAAATGCCCCAAAGTGGGATTGCTAGTACATGTCTGAGACAAGCAGAAACAGTCAGATAAGTTGATGTTAGGTGAAATGAACCCCAAGATAAGGACTCAAATGGTTTTTCTTTCTCGCTATTGTTTCTAACATATTTATAAGATATTTCTTTTTTGCTTTGTATGTCCCTCCCCCACGGTATAACCCCTGTTTTCACTGTATTTGATGTTGGATAATTTGTGGAGGAGAAGGGAAAAAAACAAATTGTTTAAATAGGAATACAGTTGGACCCATTGCAACAATGAGATGTCCAATATGTTATGTCAAAAAACGAACTTTACAACTTTGGCACGGGGGTGGGGGTGGGGGGGAGGAGATGGGAAGGGCTTGGAAGGGGAAGCAAAGGAGGAGGAGGCAACAATGCTTGATAAGAAATGTACTCATTACCTTGCCTATGTAATTGTAACCCCTCTGTATGCTATTTTTACAATTAAAAAAGAAAGAGCCATAAAATTAACATTAGCAAGCCAACTTTTTTGTATGCATTAATTGTTTGATTTTATACAACTGTTTCTTTTCTTTAGAAATATAGTTATATGATCAAAAAAGTTAATAGTAGTATCTGAGTTCTACTAGTTGGATTTCTATTTTAAAATAGCAAGTGTACACTGTGTACCTTTCAGAAGTTTGCTTTTGTATGCTGGAAAAGATAAAAATGGGCAGCTTGTGAGCTGTGGAGCAGCTGGGGACATTGTCTGATTCTCACTAACATTAGCTGGCCCTTTGTCGTTCACAGATCAGGAAAAGAAGACCTACACCAGCATCACTTGTGATTCTTAATGAAAGCAACCCCCCAGGTAAAGAGGCATGTTATCTTACATACTAATTGGTCAGAATATGATTGTTTGAACAGCATCAAATAGCATGGCATTGTAAAAACAAATTGGCAATATTCTTCCAAGCTAGTCTATAAGTTGGATCATGACCAAAATCAGAAATACAGGGCTCAAAACAGCCAACTGCCTGTTTTGATTATAGAATAAGACATTAGATATGATATGATGTGAAAAGTTTTATTAGTATTGATTGTCATGAGTTCAGGTGTATGAAATCTGGTTCAGTGCTTATTAATACTAGAAAAAAAGTTATTTAATTAAGTTTCAAGCTTCAAATTACAGCCCCTGAGATGTTTATATTTTTACAGAGTAGGTTTTTATTTATGTCAGAGTGGGCAAAGAGCCAGCACTAGCTAAAGCTTTGCTGCTGATGTCATCTCTGAATAATGCAATTGACAAGTAATCAGATCAATTTTCAGCACTGTCCATTTGAGAGCCATTCAGAATGGTTGCATCCATTTGTTGAGTTTTTATTTCCCATTTCCTATAAAAACTGAAACTACATTATTATTCCTGGCTGAGAATTATCATCTTCAATACACAGGCATTACTTACTTTCTCAGTGGGCTGAGTTCTGTCTTACATTTAAATACTGCTTTTAGAAATATTTGTAGGATAGGAGAGATCATTGCATTAATTTGTAACCAGGTTGATAGGAAGAACTTTTTATACAAGAGACATTTGGATGTCATGTTAGTTGGTATTGATGTTTATGTTGCTATGAAAAAAACCCTACATTTATTGAATTTCAGGCCCAGTCTCCAGTTGTCTTGGCAAGGCTGATTTTAGGGCCTTACATGGCCTAAAAGCTGGATGCTTCCCTTTCGAAGGAAGGCCAAAAAGAAAACAAGTTTGAGTAGTTCAAAGCCTAGTACATCTACCCAGGTTGTTGAATTTTTCAGACTCATTCCCATTAAACACAGAAGGAGACAAGAATATCTTCATAGTTAATCATTACTGGGTCAAAATATAGGGAAATGTTCAGCTGATAGGCAATAAGTAAGCTTATTCTTCCTTGTAATATAATTGCCTTGCTGTTATATTTTCCTGAATTTTAATAACAAAGCATTATCATTTGGTCTTCTATTTTTTTAAATGCCATAACATTTAAAATAAATCATCAAATATACCATATCACTTAGTAAATGTTAATTTATATTTTGGTTGAATAATTGGTGCAAATGATATAGATTTACAATTTACAAACAACTCTAATTGAATTGTTGCAGTTTAAATGTAATTTTAGAGCAATTTTCTATCATTGTCTTGCTCATGGTGCTAAAATGTCCACCACACCTGATAATGTCTTTCCCATTAGAATGCCTGAGCCCTAGATGTGCTTCACTCTCCTACAAAGGAGCTTTCCAAGCTCTGCAACTGCCATTGCTGTTCAATCATAGTGAAGTCATCTAATTGTACTCGATATATCTCATTTGAATCTCTCAAATAGCAACTACTGCCTCTTTCATGCCAAATGTATGTTATTTTACACAGGAGGAGTGTATATAAAAAAAGGAAAAGTAGTCCTCTAATATTATTTTACTAGAAGTGATAGTTTGGAAAGATGATGACAACTCTTTAAAGAGAGTTCCCACAAACAAGCAAACCCAGCTTGAAATAAATCCTTTGCCTGGACCACTCATCCTAGTAGACTTGGAATAATATTTAAATATTCCTGAGAAACCGTATGTGTGTTTCTCTAGAAATCTTTTTCTTACCATACTTCCTAGTCATGCATTGTGCTGCCTTATTTTCCTAAGTGACCTCTTTCTCTCTGTTTATAAGCACCATTGGACAGAAATTAGAAGTCAGCAGCATTTTCACAAATGTTATTTTAGTAATATCATCTTTCTATACCTTTCTCCTTTTTCACAAAAACTATAATAATTTACAAAGGGAGCAGTTGGTTTTGGCCTGGTGTTCTCAGAGTCAGTGTGTGTGAGAAGCAGAGATTTAGGAGTAGGGGTCTATTCTTTCAGAAAAAACTCAAACCTAGATTTCATAGTAACAATGATCCGTCACTATGGTTATTGTCTGAATAACTCCAAGAATCCACAAACAATTAGCAACCAAAGTAAAACAGATAAAATACAAACTTGGGATTCTATTCTTTTTGGTCAAATGGTCTTTGGTAAGGGATGTCACCAGCTTTTCTTTATCTTCTATAAAACAAGACTTATAAAAGCCATTCCTTCTACCCACAGTTATTGTAATGATCAAAATAGTTTACATGGTTACATCTTAAGTTAACTCTTTTTCAAAGTTTCAGAAGTTTACAGAAATGTTCAATTATGAAAGTATTTAAAAGAATCCTTTTGTTTTAGATTTAGATATACCTATGTCTTTTGTATAGTTATTTGCTTTGATGGTAGGCAACAGGAGAGAAAATACTTTAACATATGATTTCAGATTGTTTTGTTTGATGGTTCATCTCTCTGCTCTTCTAAACTCAGAGATGAGGTCAATACTTGATTGGTTAGATTCCAGGAACAGTAAAACATCCCATTGGATCAAGAAGATTGAGGTTCAAGGTCAGCCTCAGCAAAACATGAATGAGACCCCATCTCTACAAATAGGCCAGACAGACAATTCATACTTGATACACAGAGGGCAATAGATAGGAGGATTGGGGTCTAAGGATTGCCCTGAGCAAAATACATCCCAATAATTCCTTACTAATGGATGGCCTAGAATTCTCAACTGTAGAAACAGATACCGATTTTACCAACAATATATCACCCTCTGACATAAATTGGTATTTCAGTTTAACTCAAAATGGAAAAATGTGGAAGACTGATAGCAAAGACTTGGTTTATATGGTAGAAGAGGCAGAACAAAAGTATTTGCTTCTAGGAATAACTCTAAATAGTCATCAGTAACAAGGTAATAGAGGCTTGAAATCTAGGTTTAGGAAATCACCATAGACGTATATTATCTTTTCAAATGATTTTGGGACTATTAATCCAAGTTAGCTTTTATAGCTAACGGTCTTCCCATATTCTCATTTCCTCTGAGTGGACTTATAGATCTGTGACAATCTCTCTAAAGTTTTACCACAGCATAGCATTGTCTGTGGGCTTTCACTCATCTATTATTTGTAGTTAACTGATACGGTTCTTACAGTTTTATATCAAGGGAAGCCTATACATAAGTATCCTCTCTATGCAGTAATAATTGGCTATTTTACTTTCTATCATTACTTGAGCATTATTTGTCTCTAAGTGGATTTATGATTAACACTGTATAGTTGGCTACAACTATGCTGTTGTTTAGATTGTAAATGTCTCCCTGAAGCCCCTGTGCTGAAGGCTTATTATTGATCTGTGGAGCTATGGGAGCTTTAAAAAGTGAAGATCTAGAGGAAAGAAGTGAGGTTGTTAGGTTGTTAGGAATGTGTCCTTGAAATAATCTCTTTCTGTGTGTCTGTCTCTGTCTCTGTCTGTCTGTCTGTCTGTCTCTCTCCCTCTCTTTGTCTTTGGATGCTCTGAATACAGAAACTTTGCTCCATTATACACTCCCTGCCAAGATCTTCTTCCTTGCTACAGGCCCAAAACAATGAGGCCATACAACCATAGGCTGAACCCTCTGATGCTATAGGCCAAAATAAATTATACCTTCTGGAAAAGCTGTTTATATTGGCATTTTTCCCCAGCAACAGAAAGCTTACTAAAATACAATATTAGAAATATGGAAATAGAAAATAACCTTGGAATACATTTAATCTTAGCATACATCTTCCTGGAAGACATAATCTAATCCACATCCCAGAGATTTGTTCTGTTTTATGTCTCAAAGAAGAATCTATAATTATGTCTGGGTTTAGTTTCAGGCTTGATAATTTAATGTGTTAGAAAATATAGTTTCTTGAGCCAAATTTTAGGGTAAGTTCACCACTTTATACAATGCTGCATGTATTCTCTTCAATAAAAGTTTACTTTCTCACCTATTTAAAATACTTTTATTACTGTCTTTTCTGTGCTGAGTATTCTGAGAACTCAGTGAACTATGTCCAGATTCTCCCCTATCTCTCTCCTTTGGCACCAGAGCTGGACACAGTCTTCCAGTAAAATGCTATCCTAGCCAGACCTTCAGAATATTAAAGTTTGTGGCATCCACTCTTTTCCACTTACTGTTAAGCAGAGGCAGTATGTTTACAATTATATTTAATGGATCTGATGCCTATTAAACATGAGTGAACTATAAGAGGCCTGGAGCTTAAGTGAAGATTTGGGTAAGTACCCAGGAGTTTGGTCGTCATCTAAAAGCTTATTGTACTTCTAAAATCAAGAATAGAAACATAATGTAAAATGATTGGACAGGATATTTATTGAACACATTATCATAGCCAAATTTGAGGGACACTAGCGTTCTGAGTCTTTTAGTCTTTGAATGTCTCAGGATCTGAAATTTTATTTAATACGTTTTATGAAACATTATTTAATATGAGACAAATGAGATCTGAGATCTGAGACACAGGAGATATGTGTTGTGCCTTACCAAACTTAGAATAAGTCTAGTCACTGAAGAGAACTAGGATTTCCAGAAGCTTGCCCATGTGGCTTATCAAACTGAAAGAAAAACCACAGTGAGTTCTGTGTGTAGCACATGACTTTCTAAATAAGATAAACATTTCTGAACCCCAGGTAAGATAAGGAGTAAGGTTTTGAAGGCTTTGGTTTATAATCCTGAGATGTTAGATGATAGAAAATAACACTGGACTTAACCCTACTATTCATATCCCGGAGGAACTCCATATTGTTTGTCATGAATCTCCTTATTAAAATATAATGGGAGCCTTTGCAGGGTCAATACAGTGCTAGTGGATATTCATTTGTAGTATTAAGACATTCATATGAATGCGCTCTCTTTTCATATTTACAAAGGAATGATTTATGGTCAGAAGGCACTAGATAGTTGACAGCAAGCTCCAGAGATTACAGTGATGTTTTCCCTCAGGATTC